CTTCCCTGAGTAACATATCCCCCCCCGCCCTGGCTGGGCAATTTGTCCCAGCCCCAGCCCCAATCCCTCCCTCTCGCACACCCCTTCCCTCCCCTCTCCCCCAACCTCAACAGACTTACCAGCTGGAAGCAGCCGCCCAGCCTGTTTGCCTGCAGCCACCCAGCCTATTTAGTCTATGGATGAATCTCCAAATTGGCTGAATCTTTTCCGAAGCTTTTCTGAATCAATTCGGATGTTTCAAATCAATTTGGAGCTTTTACTTGGTCTCCTGATTCAATTCGGATTCGGAGATTCAGTCCCCAAATCAGACCGAATCTCCTCTGAATCGAATCAGCTACTGAAGCTTCACACTGCCCTACTGATAAGCAGGTTTTCTTTCTCTTCCACAGAATTGGCTCTGCATATTTTCTATTAGAGAGAACCCCAAATTCATAACTCTTCCACTTCTAACTGGGAACAAATGTCTGACACCCTTAATGTTTTTAAAGGGAATGTCCCAGTGCCTGGCAACAAGGGCAATGCAAACACAAACTTGTGGCTCTGTTCCACAAATGGAGGATGGTTATGGGATTGGGCAGTGAAGAATGAAATTTAAACAAAGGAGTTCTGCAGTCAGCGTATGACACTTAACAGTTATACTGCTCTAGAAAGCTGGTAAGACGCAGGCTTCTACAGTAAGGGATTTGCAGAGGTAAGTTCATGAATAGAAGACCCTGTTCCAAGGCCTACGGTATCTGTTCATAGGTGGGCCTACTTGTGCTATGAGCTGTAGCTGACAAAAATATGCAGTGACAGGGCATGCACAGTCCCAGTGTTTCATGCAAGGCTGTGTATCACTATAGGCAGGCAATTAAAAATAATAGAACCACTGCATCTACAGATCCAGCAGCTGATCTTAAAAAACAAACTGATTTGTATGCATGTATAGCCTGAGATCAGAATTTAACTCTGTGTATAAATCTCATATCTGGCAGCTTTTAATTATAATCATTACACTTCATGTAGCTGTTTCCAAAAACAGCAAGTTCAGCCATTGACTACAGTTTCACCAAAGCCACCTGATTGCAAATAATGTACTAATTATCTTTCCTGACTCAGCAAGAATTTAAAAAGGACATTTCACATTGCAGTTAATATTCGGATTATTTCAATTCTTGATCAATTTCTTGGCTATTGTTTTGCCAACATTATTTTTGTGTCCATTTGCACTCCTAATATGTCCAATAACACTGTCATTTGGAAACAGTTAATTACTTTGGCTCAAAACTAAGCCCATCATCCAGTAAAATAGGTTCTTTTATTTGGAATTGAGCTGTTCTTAATACTAAAGGGGTGATGCTGTGCATTTGCTTGTATCAGGTCTCTTTTCTGTCATGAGAGAAAAGCATTCCCTGCTAATCTAAGAATACACTATACATAGTAAGCGAGGTTGTTAGGACACGTAAAAGTAATATGTAGTTTTACATAGCAATGTTTACTTAGGGATGCAACATCACATTCAAGTCTTGGCACACAGAAATGTGTTATCATGGAATACTTACAAAAGGTGACTTAAAGGCCAGACTTGCTGCTATGGTTAATGCTGGATCCAGACAACGGAAAATGGCACCAAATAGCATTAGCTTTCCAATCCTTACATCGACAGGCAGGGAAGCCAAGTGGTATCCCAAAGGGGTGAGCTTTTCATCTGAAGTTAAGGCTCCTAGGTCCTGCAGTCGCAGTTTTGATGCACGCAGAGATTCCATTCTTGGAGGCTCAATCAGCCGTGATAAGACAGACTGAAGGCTTTGTGCAGAAAACATCTCCAGAATCTTAATTCTTAGAAAAAGATGACAATTTAGTTTGCTTTCACTGGGCAAAGCTAAAAGAAACACTTGACTAAGAATGTCTTCCCCAAGGTTTTCTTTCTAAACAGCACTTGTCAACTAAAACATGTCATCCAGTACTTTATGTTCTAGAGTCTAGACTGACTCACTACAGACTACCTGAGACATTTCAAGAGCCTGGCTCTTTATCTTCAAATTTCCTGATAGGCAAGGACCAAAGTATTACAGTCTCTTCCCTGCACTCACTGCCATAGCTGCAGCCAAAGTGGGGAAAGTACCTCAGTAACCTGCAGTGAGGGAGACCAGGGCAAGCTGATATCTTATTGTCTTTGCAGTTGGATGTCAGGCTTGTCTTTTCGTTCCTCCTGGGAGGGGGACAGGAAGATAGGAATCCACTCAGGGAGCTGTCTGACATGATCAGGGGAGGTTTTTGATTCCACAGGACCTGCTTCAGGGCCAACCAAGTCAAGGGAAAGACTCCCATTTATCTTTATGGGCTCTTTGTTCTTTACTGTCATAAAACATGTCTTCACATAACTGGCATTGGCCAGTGTCCTAGAAAGTTTCCTTTTTGTAAAGAAGCATATCGAATGAAATGGCTGTAAAGGTCCCTGTCATACCAAAACCACAGTTGTGTTTAATATAGACCAACGATTCCCAAACACAAGCATGCCATGAGAGCTGTTGCAAGTATGCCGTGAAAAAAAAATATTTTTTTCTTTTTTCTTTTTTTATTTAACCTGAAGGGTAGTGTGCATGCAGAGCAGGGCACAGCAGAATCTAGCATAGGCATGCCCCATTGGTACAAGCAGGGCACAGTGGTGGCAGTGTGCAAATGTTTGGTCCCCATGCAGCCCCCCAGTAGTTGGAAGATGCAGGCCTACCACAGCTGGGAAGCTGGGGGCGGGGAGAAGTGACAGTGGCAGCAGGACCAGATACCTGGAAATTGCTGCTGCTGTGCCTTGCTTGCATTCCAGAGACATGGCTATGCCACACACCTGGGAGCTCAGCACTGTTCTCTGTTGCACCCATGGGGGGCTTCCACCACTGTGCAGGTAGATGTGGGTCCCCCAACCCCTTCCCCAGTCTGGATTATCAGCAGCAGGTCCCACCCCCACCCCCTCTCATCCAAGTCCCACCCCCACCATGTTGAGCTCTGGGGAACTCTTGTTAACAGGTGTCCGTGGGTTCCCCTCCCTCAAGAGGGGATTTCCCCTGTACCTACACCCCTGCCACTTAATTCCAGCTCTCCAGCTCCTTGGTTGTAGCCAGCATGCGGCTTTCAGCCATGGGAGAGCTGCAACTAAACCAGATAACTATAAACGGTTCATGCCACTGCTGTTGCTTTTCCCTCCTCCCCTTTTTGGCTGTAAGAGTGAAGTGTACTGCCAATTTTAATGCAGAAAAAAGTGCACCCCAGGTATCAAAAGTTTAGGAAACAGTTATGTAGACCAGTAGTGCTCAACCTTTTTGTCTGGCGAGTCAGATCTGGCTGGTGGTCCTGATCCAGCACTGAGGGCATGTGGCAGGGCCCTATCCAGCTGCACATAGGAGGGCAGGGTGGGGTTGCAGCCCAGCCCCAATTTTGTCCCATGGAGGGAGAAGGGCCTTGGCCTGGCCTCAACCCAACCCCACTTGTGGTGGGGCATGGTGAAGGGAGCATGGCCCAGTCCAAACCAAGCCCAGCTGTGGCGGGGAAGAAGGGAACTTGACTTGGCCCCAACCCAGCCCTGCTGGGGAAGAAGAAAGGAAGAGTGGCCTGGCCTCAACCAAGCCTCGCAGGAGGGAGGAGGTCATGGCCCAACCCCGTGGGAAGGGAAGGGGAGGGGAGAGGGGCATGGCTTGGATCCCAACCCAGCTACACAGAGACAAGGGGGTGTGGTTTGGCTTTGACTCACCACAGGGCTACGGTTTGGGAATCTGGCAGCAGGGGAGGGTGGCAGTATTAATTGCCACTGCTCTCCTCCACCAAATTCCCCACCCCTGGGGGAGCCCTGCAGGCCACATGCCAAGGCTCCATGGGTTGCATTTGGCCTGTGGGCTGGAGGTTGAGCACCCCTGATGTAGACTGGTTCCACTGCACAAAAAGCTTTGGTAGCTCTTCCCAAGAAGTATTTATGTTTTAAACCAATGAAAGGGAGGCAAGTTTGGAAGAGAGGATAACATCCTCCCAGCACTTGACCAGAAGAGAAAATAGGACAGCTCATCTCATTAGGGGCACTTTTGTTTGCAAGTGCAAGTCAAGGCACGTAGTACGAGAAGCCTGGGTGTAAGGGAGAAAGGAGCTGAAAGAAGTGCGTGCAGCAGCATGGTGGGTGGGAAGGATGAGGTCCTGACAAGGGTGGTAGTCAGCAAATTATCAAAAAGTGCGCTGACCAGAGTGGAGCGTGGTGACTCCACAACACTGGATGTGTGAGAGAGAGAGAGAGAACACAACCTGATAATATCACCATTATAGTCTCCCACTGGTGGCAGAGGACTTCTTGGAGAACAACTCTTTAAGGTAAACTCCAGCAAGGATAGTTTACCTGAGGCAGAGTTGTTCCAAAGGCACTCTTTGTATTTCAGGCAACTGCTGCTTTATAAGCTGGTGATTATAATGATGGCTACTGAAAAGATGAAAGCAAACTCCAGAAGCTACACGGCCTGCTCGCCCCTTCCTTTGCAAAGCATTGGCTTTGGACACAAATGTATCTTCCAAACTTTCCATTCCTTTGCTGGGATCATACCTGCAAAAGAAAAAAAAGCGAAAATGACTGAGGACGGTAATGTTTCAGTTCAAGAATGCTGGGTATTAACACTGGACCTCCCGTGGAGGAGTGCCACCAGCTTCTAGAAGAGAGCAACCACTAACACCAAGGATGCAAGTGGAGTTTACCTGGAATTTGACTGAAGTCAACAATTGCTGGGTTCAGAATAAAGCCCTTGTACATTTTCTCAAACTCTTAAAATAGGGCTTTTAAGAACCTTAAATGAACAGCATGCAGAACATGACATTTTCCAAGACCATATTCCATTAAAATAATTCTTGTACCTTTTCTCTTTCATTTTGCCTGAATCAATCACAAAAATAATATCATCAATAGTGACGGATGTTTCTGCAATATTTGTAGAGATGATTATCTTGGTGACTCCTACAGGAGGCTTAAGGAACACAGACTGCTGTTCTTCACTGGACAGTGAGGAATGAAGTGGTAAAACAACACACCTAGAAGAAAAAAAAGGGCATGCTTTCCTTTCCATTATTTTTCCTTCCTGATATCAGTCTGTTTACACATGCTTTAGTCCATAGAGCATTACACAGATACTCATTTACAAAGTGGAAGTTATATTTAAATGGTTCCTATCCCAACCTCTGAGTATTCCTCAACATTTTCTGAATGAGGGCATGAGGACCTGTGGAGTACATCTTCTGTGGGTTTCAGGGATAAAAATCTACCACACCATGTTTCACCCTTGGCTTTTCTGGTGGGTACAATGACCAGGCAGAATGTAGCCCTACACATTTACATGTAAGTATGAAATAAATGGACTGTATTAACACACCAGGACATGGAAGACTGCCTGGATGAAAGGAAGCAATGAAAATAGGACACTGTCCCCGATGTGAAATCAGCTATCTTGGTTTTCTTTTCTCTCTTCAAAGTTCAGCCTTTAGGCCTTCAAGGAATGCTGTCATAGGTTTACATACCTCACCCTACTGTGGCCACAGGGCTTCCCTTAACACATACTCTGGGAAAGAAAGAAGCATGCTTAGGGGGATGGGATTCTGTCTCTAATGGAAGGGCCTGCAAGCAGTGATCTTGTGAGCAGCTGTGTGTGAAGGGTCCCCTTTCCTTCCCTGAAGCAGATGAGAGGTCCAGTCAGGATTTCTGCTTTGGAAGTTCATCTGTTTTTCTGTTCCCAAAATTCCTTTCCTATTCACTCACATAGTAGTGATGGAGTCTACATGCCTTAGGTGATACACTGGCTTGCACATCTTTATCACTGACCTAGAGACTGACATTAAAGCAGTAAGCACAAGCAGAGCAGCCAAAGTGTTTATACAAGTCCTTCTGAGACCATTACTTTATTCTGCTGATGAGTTTAGTGATCACAACACATTTGACTGAGATCACTTAACCTAACCAGAAAAAAACTTAGTTTAGATGTAATATTTGGACAGTGATCCAAATTACACTGGAATAGTTTTCCTTGCAATATTAGCTTGTCTTTAATAGATATTGATTTTTTTCTTGCCCATCCCTACAAACATCTCAACTTTTTTCCTTAAAAATCACACAACATTTTAGCATATTACTAGATGCAGAATTTTTTGAAGTAGAAAACAAGGTAAAAGGTAAAGTTAAACCTCACCTTTTTTAGCCTTCCATTGGATTGCTATAGCTGGTGCATAGAGACAATGTACATGGCACAAAGACTAGCTAGGCCAGATATCAGCAACCTAGGGTCCATGGGCTGCATTCAGCCTGTGAGGAAATTTAATCTGGCCTGCCACAGTTCAGAGAATTAGCAGCATGCTCCAGTCACAGTAGCAGGGAAAATAATCTCAGGGTCCTACTGCCAGCTTCCATTAGTTTGTTCTTTCTGCTCCAGCAGAAGAGCAAACCCCAGGGTCCTAGAGCCTATCTTTTCCTATCCTTTTCTATTGCAGCATCTGCCGATCCTCAGAAGGGTTTTAAGGGGGTGTCGCAGGGTACTAAGGTGCCTGCTCCTCTTAGAGCAGAGATAAGAACCCAGATGCAGGTTGCCATGACAACTGGTTAATGAGGGAATTGGCCGCACTTGCACCTGGTCAGCTGGCTGGAGGAGGCAGGGCCCTAGGCCCATACAAACCCCAGGGCTGGGACCAGGGAGTTAGTTCCCTACCTGCAGCTGAAGAGGAAGGAGCCTTCAGGAAGGAAGGGCCCAGAGAGATGGGGTAGCTGGCAGATATGCCACCCTTAGAACAAAGGGGACACCAGGAGCCCATCAGGTATCCTTGCCTGCTAGACACTGAACCTCAGAGATGGAGTTTTACTCTTTTAAAGGGGCAGAGCATGACGTGAGTTCTGTGTTATATTGCAGCCCAGGGACTCATGGTGGTTGGCTGTGGTTGGTGTGCTGTCTGATAACACTGGTGGTTTAGGTGAGGCTATTTGGGGAAGGAGGAGGCCTCATTGGGGGCCCACTACAGCGTGGGGACCCCGGCACCAGCGAGGCGCAGAGCGAGACAGGGCTGCGGACAGCCCATGCACCAGCAAGGCACAGAGCGAGATGGGGGGCCAAATTACAACAAGACCTAGACCGGACAATGTTGGTACAAGCTGCAAGGCTTGGGGTGTGGTAGAGGGGTGGTTGGAGCCACGCATATGGCCCATAAGGCTAAGAGATTCGGGAACCGTCCACAGTGAAGCAGGATGTCAAGGGGTCTCGAGACAACAGGGCTATTAGGATCTAGCCAGACTGTGTCCAAAACTAAAGCTCAAGGGCAGCCTCCTTATATTCATCATACCAACAAGACCTGGCGGGTGAGAATGAGGGTGCTTGTAGGGCAAAACTGACAGGGTTAAGGACCTGGGGATGACACGGCCACCCCTAGGCACCCCACCCTGCTAAAGTGGGTAAAGGGTGGGGAATGACAGGAGCTAGTTTGCAAGCAGTGATCCATGGTGGCAAGAGGATGCCAACCACTGAGCTAGGCTGCTAAACAACACTCATTGCTAGGGTATCTGACAGATTCCACAAATTACTAAATTAGGTTTAATTTTGGTCATGAAAACATCAATTTTCCCTTCTCCAACTTGAGGACACTGGTCTAAAGCTTCCATCACCAACACGCCATATGTGCCTGTAGATTGCTATGCTAGTTAGAAAGAACCTATTCCAAAGGAACAGAAGTAAACAGCCAGTGGTACATAAAGGTTCACCCCTTTGCCACCTGCCTCAACCTTTCAATAACCTTTATTTGCAACTGGCTTGAGATATTAAAGTTTGTGTAGACTGCAGCAATATCTTTAATAAATCAGTTTCTTTCTGCTTTAATTCAACAAAATGGTAAGTTTTAGGACACCTTTTGACTTACCGCTTACTACGTCTATTATTGAAAAGGGCATTTGACTGCAGCTGCTCATAAAGCATCTTAATTTCTGCTAGACCAGGCAAAAATACCAAGACAGCACCTAAAGACACAGGCAAAAAGAGAATAGAGGAGTTTGGATAAAAAATATTATTAGACAAGAACACTCTGAGAGTGGACAAAGGCCTGAGTTCAACCAGAACAGTACTCTGCAGTGTGCTGTATGAGCTCATAAGCAGCAGTGGTCCCTGTTCCAAAGAACTTGCAATCTAAGCCAGGTGTTGGCAACACTTTCCAGTCTAAACTGGGGGCTGGAATGACCCAGTTTGGGTTGGAGTTGGGCAGGCATTAGAGCCCAGCTGCCACTGCTACTTCTTCCCATGATTCAGCTGCAAAAGTCCCCCTCTACCAGAGCCTATCCTGCTCAACTGCAGCATGACATGGGCAGAATTCCGCCTCTGCCAGAGCCCCAGATGGCTGACTGTGGCTTGGCACGGGGAGAGTTCTCGACTGCCAGATGCTGCAAAAAACCATAGTTCTGTGGGCCAAAACAAAGGCTCCATTGGCCAGATCTGGCCTGTGGGCTGTAGGATGCTGACACCTGGTTTAAACAGACAAGACCACGTGTTTGTTCTGTCCATCCTACAGAAACAAGGGGCTCTCAACTCTGAGAAAGTCAAGTGGAGAGAATCAAGTAAAATCAGAAATTGTGGAAATTAAGATTAGTGCAAACATGTCAACTTGACAGAATTCACCCAAATGCATAAACATTAGGTGAATTTCCCTCTGTTCAAACCATAATGGGCAATCATGTTACCTGGTGGGTATGAGTGTTTACCACTGACTATCCACTCCAGTAAATCCTCTATTAATTCAAGATTAACTTTGTCGAAATCCATGGCAGCCATTGTTTTTAACACTGATTTACTAATTTCTGAAAGAAAAAAATAGAATGCATCAGGAGCACAGAGGTAAGTCCATGTCTAATAACATATGACATACAATACAGTGAGACATGGCTACACAAAGAATTAAACCTTTGGTCAGAGGCTATTCTGTCCTACAGATTTAGCTGAAAGGGCTCAGGATGCTAATATTTGAGTGTTACCTCTTATCTCCTCCTTCACTTGGTTCCTCTACTCATTGACACTTTTCTCTCTGACCCTCTTACTCACTAGACTGCTTCCATTTTATTTTACTCTTTTTCCACTCAGCTTTCTCAGATTTCATTGGGTCTCATGTACTCCTCAGGACCTTTGGATGGCTCAGCCTGTGCACCCCCAGACTGGAATCAGACAGGACCTGGAATCACCACAGAGCTAAAAGAGGTCTTACACCTACTTAATGACTGACACCTGAGCCTCCAGGACTCCAATCACAAGCTCTTTCTTTCATTTCTCAGAATTTCAGTCCTCCAAAGGAAAAAAGACCTTCTCACCCATGACCACCTCCCCCACCAACAAAAAAACAAACTCCAAAACAAAAAAAACCATTATCCTTCAGGGCTACCAGAGCCATCCTACAAGAGGCAATCCCAGAGCTGTGCATCATAAATTACAATGGAAGGAGGGAGTGGGTGACATGATTAAATCTTATTCTGCCACTCACTAACAGGTCAAAATATATCTTCAGCTGTATCCAACAAAAGCCCTGGCACTATCACTACAGATTGTTCTAGCCTGCAAAGGCAGGAATCTGAAGATTTCAAAGCACGTGTGCTCAAAGTGAACAACCAGGGGTGTGTGGAACTCTTTTAGAGGACATGTGGAAGGAAATATTTTGAGAACCTAGCAGCAGGAAGATTTAGGTGTGGATTTAGATTTAGGATCTGGCTCATGAGAAAGCCCCCTCTACATATTATAGGTATCACACAATTAACTGGTCATCTGTGTATTTACCTTAAGACCAGCTACACATGCAAAGTACTTATCACACAATAAAAAGCCCCAACCAGCTATAAAGTTAAATCTCAAAAATGTGTACTAAACTTTATAGCTGGTTGCTACTGAGCTTTAATTTCCACATGTAGCAGCGTCTCCTCTACAGCTGGGATGCACCAGGCCCGGCATGAAACCCCTGAGTCAGGGGACTGTGGCAGCTGTGATCCCCAAGGCTTGGGGGTGCATGAAAGCCCCCAGGGCAAAGGGGGTCATGGCAGCTGCAATCTCTGCACCTGAAGGGGCTCAGTCCCAGCTGCATGACATGTGCAGCCAGAACCCAGAGTCTCATGCCTGACAAGGTCAGGGCTGGGACCAAGAGTATGGCGCAGGTGGGACCAAGAGCCCCGTCAGGTGCCGGGATTGCAGCTACCATGATCCCCTTGGCCCCCTCGGGTCAATAATTGAGCGTGGGACTCTCAATCCCAGCTGCACATGGTCCCCCAAAGGGGGCTTCCAGCTGTGGAAGCCTGTTTTTTGCCAATGCAGGCTCCCCCTACACTAGCAATAAAGGTGCAATTGGATCTGAAGCAGAATCCCACAATTGCACCTCCTGCCATGCATGTGTGGTATAGCAGGAGGCACAATTGTGTAGATCACACATTAAATCCAGTCATGCCTTTACCTGTACATGTAGAGGGGGCCTAAGATACTTAAAAAGGAACAGTAATATAATAGGTTATTGCTCAAACCAGTCCTTTATCATATGCTAAGAATTGTCTGAGGCCAGTATTTCCTGTAGTTTAGTGGCCTAACTGTAAAACAGGATTTATTTTAACTGACAGTGGGTTTTTGATCATATGGTTCTACTGTCATGTTTAGCTTCAAAGCCATGACACTTCTAATTATGAAAATATGTGATATACATTCAAGGACACCACTTTGGTTTGTCAATAAGCCATTGTGATAGCTTTAAAAGACACGGAGATTACCTTTGTAACGTATTAGGAGCTGTTTTAAAGTTAACTGCTGGTCTGGGACTGAATCCTTGACAGTCATGTCATCCTGGATAAGGCCAGCATGCCTCAGATCCTCCTCTACTTCTTCAAGAGCAGTTCTGCTGCGTCTTGCTCTAAGTTTCTCATTAGAACCATGCTTCATGTTCCGCCTATATGGACTACCATCCTCTAAGACATATCTGAATATGAGCAGAGAATTCAAGTGTGTGGAAAGAAGTTGCTTTTAGTCTCCTTTGAACTGTTAATATGAGAAGCTGACATACCTATCACCATGTTATATAAAAGCCTTACAAATTTATATGAAGAATGAGTAGGCCCTAAGTTTTCATTTCTGTCACTCTTAGGAGCAAGTAAGAGTACTAGAAATTCAACTTCACACTTAGGTTTCAATTCTTTTATCATCCTTTCCAAAACCAGGAAGAGCAGTAATTTAAATACAATAAGCTTTGTTGAGTATGTCTTGCTTTTTATTCTGAAGCAGATGAAAATTTTGGTTGCTCTAAACTCTTGGGTAAAGAGGTTCCTGAGTAGCTGGCTGACTGCCAAACAAGGCCTCATCTGCAGCTCACAGCAGTCTTTCTTGGCATAACGGCTCACTGATTTTGAGGTTCAGAACTACCTTGGTGGGGTCTTGGTGGCTGTGACAGAGGTGCTCTGAGATACCTAGGAGATGGTCCATTGAATGTCCCCAAGATTACAAATTGGATCCCACAGTTCAACACCCAGCCAAGTGCTACAGCAACTAAACTGCGGGCAATTCGCAACTGACTGAACAGCTTTCCATCTGAAACAGAACAGCTGGGAGTGACTCTGCAGCTACATCTGACAAGAAGAATCCTTGTCTAGTCCATTGACATGGCATTTAAGTTTAAGAATTTAAGAAAAATTCCTTACATGGCAGCCTGTGTTTCCTTTCTGTTTTTTACCCTCAGCACTGAAATCTACCTTTATGTTTCTTGTGTCACAGGACATCTAAGAACTACTAAAGATTTGTGAGATGATGCCAATATATTTGTGAGAGCTACTGAATATATGATAGTAATGTATTACCACGTGTTTCACATTTTGACTTTCTGGCTAGGAAGAAAATTTTCAGCTGAATTTTGTAAGCTTCTCCATAAGCTTAATGGGACAGGCCATCATCGCAGGGCCTTCTTGCACTGGAAGAGCAGTTCTCCTGCCAGCCTGAAAGTGTTGGTGGTCAGATCAAGAAGGAGTTCATGCTAAGCCTACATTCATATCCAGCTTGAAATTCAGACCTAATGATCTTCTGTGCGACTTCCAGCAATGCTAAATATTGTAATGTATTTTAAGACCTATTTCAATGTATTTGGTTTAAACTTAAACAGCATCAAAGATGCCTCAAACTGAAGGAGTTTCCAAACCCTGGTCTATTCAAATCTTTCCAGTTTTTGGATCTGTTGTGTTGGAATACAAGTTGAAGTGCACAATAAAGAATATCATGGAATTGCACCTATAAAAAAAAAAGACAGGTCACAAACCCCAATAAAGACATGACCTTAAATAAAAGAAGGTCCAGAAGACTGACAGCACTTGAGAACTGGTAAACTTTTCAGGGGAGGGACCATTTCTAATTGTTGTTGATCTTTGCAGTGTCTAGTAAAATGTGCCCAATTCTTGACTGTGACCTTTGAACGGTCCTAGACTACAAGCAGAGGTACAGTTTTAGAATAAATAGCATCATCAAATATCGAGGTCTAAGTTTACAGGTAAGAATCAATAAAATACTATTATTAATTTATATGCAGAGCTAATATAAAGTCAATAGACTACTAGCCTAAATATTAAAACTCCAAAAACCAATTACTTCTAAGCATACTGTCAGAAATTTCATACCTCGTCATCGCAATCACATCTTCTAGAAAAAACTGATCCACAGGAAATGTTCGACCTACAAAGAAAAGTACGAACAATAAAACAACACGCAAACTATCATTGTAGACACGCATGCAGAAGGATGGGGAATAGATTTTACAATTTCTTATGCTGGTTTCACAACTTTTTCAACTTCTGTGACCATATGAATAGGGACCTACTTAATTTGTGGCTTCATGTATTTTATGGAAACTACAAAAAAAGGACAACCCCCCCCCATTTTAATAAAAATAAAATGCTGGCTCCCCAGTGGGAGCCACTGGTCCTTGCTGCCTGGAGGCAGGGCAGCACAAAGGGCAGCAGACAAGTTGGTGGCCACCCTTTCATCCCACCCCGCTCTAGGGCTTCACTGCCAATCAGCGTCAAGAGGCTAAGTTACACAAAGGGTAGCCAGCAATCAAAATGGCAGCTGCCCCTTCATCCCTCTGCTTCCTTGGGGCCTCTCTGCCAATTAGTGTCGGGGGCAGGGCCATCACAAAATGACTGGAATTAGAACTTTGTCGCAATCAATCAGCAAAAATGGAGAAGTACCCCTGTGATTTAGGTAGACCCCCTATTTATGTGTGAGGCTTCTTTAAGATCCATCCTGCAAACCTTAACAATACTGTGCCAAACAGATGGCAGACCATTTCCAAGAACATTCTGACAGCATGCAAGAAGCAAGGCTTGTTGGGGAATATTTTCTCCTGGACTAAACTGTACACTTGGGAGAGATGTTAGACAAGCTTTGGGGCCTGAGAAAAGGTATTTTATGCCTGAAAGCTTGTCTAACTAACTCAAACTATACAGTTAGTCCAATAAAAGATGTTACCAACCAAACCTTTCTTCTCATACATTCCCTAGACCAGGGGTGCTCAAACTTTTCCCCCAGCAGGTGAGATGGCCCATCCATCCACAGGCTGGATCCCACTGTGGTCCCAAGACAGCACCATGGCTGGTGAAGTGGGCACCATCCAGCCATCTGGAGGGGGGGAACAGCTCTGCTGCAACCAAGTCCTATGGGAGAAGGGGGACATGGTTTAGTTGTGCATAAGATGGGAGTATAGCCTAGCTCCAATCTGGCCCTGCAGGGGAAAAGGGAGCATAGCTTGGCGCCTTGGGGGGGTGGGGCACTGGGGGCGGGAGGAGGGGCCTGGCCTCTATACAGATGCAGAGGACAGGGCATGGCCTGGCTGCAGGACTTGCGAATTTGGCAGGGGGAAAAATGATGGTATTATTGGACACTGCTCCTCCGCTGCCAAATTTCCCACCTTATGTGAAGCCCCACAGGCCAGATGCAATGGCAGCATTTGGCCCACAAGCCGGGGGTTGAGCACCCCTACCCTAGACCATTACAGATATACTGGCAGTACAACATGTCTGACAACATATGCCTAGTTTCATAAGGGAGGGTTCCTGTCAAGGAATAATGTGGTACAGCATTAGAATTCCACTGAGCTAGTTATTTCTATCAAGTGCTCAAGAGTCAGCCCACCTGAGCAGTTGATAAAGACATACACATCCATTTGAACAGCCCAAATGTAAGTTTCAATTCTTTCTTATTTTCCCATTTCCAAAACAGAAAGGATTTATCCCATTGTGAGGAAGCTAAGTCAGAGACCTGTGTATTGTATTCTGTTTTGAAGATAGGTTTTCTTGCCAGTCTTGGCTCTTGTGCAGTTGAATTCCAAAGCTGTAGACCACAGACCAAATAGACTTTGTTTCCATTGTTATAGAACAGGGGTTTCACACACCCCTGGGGGTACTTGAGAAGGCCCCAGGGGGTATGTGGCAGCAGTGCAGAGAAGCAGGGGCACTTCTGGTTTTGCCACTGCCCACAGAGACCCCCTCCACCCCTGTTCATCAACCAGCTGGGGGACTCCCTGCTTCTTGACCGGCTGCCACCAACCAAAAAAGGCTGAAAACCCCTGTTATAGACAGTTCATCATTCTGAGGACTGCAGGTCACATTGTGCATAAAAAAAGTCAGGCCCAGCTCATTATGAATTCTGACAACCCAAACCAATACCTTAAATATGTGACCTAGTTTTAGATGGGCTACAGTGAAGTAACTGGAGCACCAGACAGAGGTAGTCTTTGATCTGTATTAATCATAAAGGGTTATTCTGTATTGCCTAATCTGAAGTTTTACTGACTATGATTTAATTGTGTGGCAATACTCAAAAGCCTAGACACCGCATATGTGATTAAGTCTGCATCTGAGATCTCTTGGCTAGCTAATGGTGGTAAATGAAAAGCATTTTGTGTTGCTGCTTCTTCTAACTAGATATCCCTTATCAATAGGAAGTCCAAGAGATAACCTAAATAGCTGACTGAAGAACCAACTCTGAATAATTAACCTTTGCCCAACAGTATCATTACTCCTTTGCCTCGGTTCAGCTTCAACTACCTGCTTTTCATCCAAGCTTGGTCTTAACTAGCAGATCTCATCTGATAGAGTTAAGCAGTCACCAGTCAAAGTCTTATAAATTGCACATTTACTAAGCACGAGGTCAGACAATAAAAGTTTGAGTCTTGGTATTCTAACTACCAAGATGTGGAGTCTGAGGGCATGCATGCAGCCTGAGGTTGTGGTTCCTAAGAAAGGAAGATTTACCTGATACTGCTATAGGTATCAACCCCTACTGTTCATAAAACAGCAACATTAAATTAAACTTTTAAGGAGGCCCTCACAGCCAGATGAAAATTTAGGTGAAATGAGATATAATCAAGCAAAGCTATAGAGCCTGAAATAAGATCTATTAATATATATTAGTATGTCTTGGCCACCCAGGATCCATGTTATGTGTTCTGAATTCATCTTGACTACAAGTATTTTACTATATCTTCTGTGATGGAGTCAAATTGCAAATATTTAGTGTTGGGGAAGCCCTGTGCTAAAAATACTAACAAAAGAATAAAAAAAATCACTGAACATACGTCAAAGACAATGATGTTTCCCAAACTTCGTAAAATACAGCAATGCTATCAAGTTGGTCTTACAGTACCCTTTCTCACTGGCCTGGACAGTGCTGTTCACACACACCTCCTTCCTGCTCATATGTCATTTCTCAACAAAGCTGAAGGCAAACTAGGAAATAACTATGGTGATGGGCAATTTAAAAAAAAAAACTGAGAAACCAAAATACTGGTTTTCACCTGGTATGTTAATAATTGGACATGAGTTATAGTACTGGGAGAAAAGTTCTGCATTCAACGTGGCACTCATCAGTATGATATGCAGGTCTGGTCTCTGAACTATTATATCCTTCAAAACCAGCAGCAAGAAGTCACTGAAGAAAACAAGCAAAAGACATTTGAACTTCAACGTTGGTTTTCAAACCCATTTCCCACCTCATTACTCTGTTCACTTTCATGGAATTCCCCTGAACGCGACACTACCAGTACCAAAACAAGCTTCACCCACAAGAGTACCCCTATGGCGAATATCCTCCAGCTAATAATTTGGTAAATTACTATAAGTAACCTAACTTTTGCTTGTCCCTTTCAAGAATTTCTGGATTACTTAGTACATATTTGAATAATAACTCTAGGAGCCCTAGAAATTAAGCTAAGACTAGCATAAGAATGAGTACCCAACAGTGTTAGATATCAATAATGGATTAACTCAAGCAGAGAGAAAATCAAAGCAGCAGATAAGTTCTTTTTAGGCCTTCCTCAGGAACTTTACAGATTGCAGAAAGCAATCTAGTCACAGACAATGCAGTGAAGGCTGAAGTATGTAATACCGGTTTTCCTTCACTCTTCACAAATAGCAATAGCTACGAGATGATGAGCACAGTTGGCAGCAAAGACAGGGAAGAAGTCAAATGGCTTAGAGTAATAGCAGAACAGATCAGGAATTACTTAGAGAAGATAGAAGCCGTCAAATCAGCAGGGCTAGATGGGATGCACCCTAGGACACTCAAGGAATTGGCTGAGTTAATTTTGGAGTCATGGGCTATCCTCTTTGAGAACTCATGGAGGTCAAGTAAGGTCCTAGATGATTGGAAAAGGGAAAATATAAGTGCTCATCTTTAAGAAAAGGAAGGAGGAGGATCTGGGGACTTACAGACCAGTAAGTCTGATCTCAATACATGGAAAGACCATGGAGTAGGCCCTCAAGGAATTACTCAGAGAACAAGGTGATCAGTAACAGCCAGCATGGATTCACTAAGAACAAGTCATGCCTGACCAACATGACTTTGTCCCATAAGGTGACAAGCTTTGTGAATGGAAGGAAGATAATGGATGTAATACATACCTTGACTTTAGCAAGGTTTTTGACACCATCTCCCATAATGTCCTCATTAACAAACTAAGGAATGCAGAGTAGATGAGAGTACTGTAAGGTGGATCCATAACCGGTTGGATCATTGTGCTCACAATGAGTAGTCATCAATGGCTCAATATTAAGTTGGGAAGAGGTATCAAATGGGGTTTCCAGGGGTCTCTCCTGGGTCCAGTACTGTTTAATGATGTGAAGATTCATTAATGATTTTGGATGATGAGGATCAAGTGTACACACAGCAAATTTGCAGATGACACAAAGTTGAGTGAAATCACAAATGCTCTGGAGGTTATAGACTGGAGAAATTGTTCACAATCAATCAGATGACATTCAACAAGAATAAGCACAAAGTCCTGCACTTAGGATGGACTAATTTCATGCACAAATACAGATTGGGGAATAAGTGGCTAGGCTGTAATACTGCAGAAAAGGACTCAGGAGGTTACAGTAAACCATAAGCTGAATATGAGCCAACAGTGTGCTCTGGTTGCAAAAAAGATCAACAGTGTACTGGGCTGTGTTAACTGGAATGTCTCTTGCAAATCAAGGGAAGCGGCTCTTCCACTATATTCAGCACTGGTAAGGTCTCACCTGGAGTACTATGTTCCGTTTCGGGCCCCACACTTCAAGAAGGATGTGCACAGATTGTAAAGTCAAACAGAGAGCAACAAAAATTAGAGGCCTGGGAAATAATGACTTATGAGGAAAGGCTGAAAGAGCTAGGGTTATTTAGTCTCAAGAAGACGGGTGGGATTTGAGAACAGTCTCCAAATACTTGAAGGGGGATTACAGAGAGAATGGAAATGGGCTTTTCTCTGTGGTCACAGGGGACAAGACCGGGAACCATGGTCTAAAAACTGCAGCAGAGGAAAGTTAGGTTTGAGATTAGGAGGAACTATGAGGGTGGGTCAAGCATTCGAACAAGTTACCTAGAGAAGTTGTGGAATCTCCATCCCTGGACATTTTGAAGAGCAGGTTGGACAGACACCTGGCTGGGATGGTTTAGTTAGGGATGATTCTGCCTTGAGCTGGACAACATGACCTTGTGAGGTCCTTCCCAGCCCAACTATTTTATAATCCTATAGCTTCCAATTGCCAGCAAAAAAACTCCATAACCCTACCCCCACAAAACCTCAGGTTTTCCAGTATGTCTGGAAGTTAACTGAATTTAGGAGATCTTAGACCAGGGAGATGTAATTGAGTTCGATGTCCTGAGGCTCCACAAGAAATGTCTTTGACAGCAGCCCTCCTACCTTTTCAACAATATGGGGAACCAGCTTGAATGTCTAACAATGACTATAACTGCATTCCAGGGAGGGAGAGGTGGTCTCTTAGATATAAACTATCTGTGCTAAGGACTCAACAGGTCACAACCATCATATTCAAAATTTACCCAGGGACTATCTATGTAAGCTGCAAATTGTCTACTACTCTAGAAAGCACCATACTCAGAGGGCTCTTTCAAAGCAGCCCCATGTCCCTTTTCTGAAAGAGCTACCCACAGACCTAGCCCCTTTCAGCATGCCAGCTGGTAAATGGGATCAGATTGGGCAAGGCTAGACTAAGGATTAAATCTGAAGGCAGGAGTTAGGTGAATCAAGCAGTTCCCTATTGGAACAAGCTGGAAGAAGGGAGACCAAGCTCCATTTGGAATCCACTGCTTAAGTACATAGGGGTCTTTATATCCAAGCGATGACTTCCAGAGAGGACATGAAAAGAACCAGGGCATTTGGGGAGCAGCAGGCAGAAATGTGGGAGGGACAGTATCCTAAGGAACCCAGATCATGATGAGATTTGTTGAGATTAAAAAAAAATCCTGTTGTCCCTCCAAGACCCATCCTAAATTATCCTAGGAATGTAATAGCAATTGTGACAACTGTGACAACTGATTGTGACAACTGATATCTGTGGAACACTGCCAGGTGCTTTCTGCTCAACTGCACAATCCCTTAGTCCACTGGGATCAGGACAGCAGGATCAGAAGCCAGTTTCATCCTTTGGTTGTCCATGATGTCACCCCACCAGTTCAAACTGGCTAAAAGCATTTGCATTTCATTAGCATGTTCTCAGTGCTAACTTTCAGTTATGAAAAAAAAGGAATTATTTACCTTTCTTCTGTTCTTTCATGAACTTCATCAATAAGAACATGGGTGATACCCTGTAAAGTCATGTCTCCTTCTAGTCTTCTCAGCAGCACACCAGTAGTGCAGTACAACAACCTGGTAGCTGAGGACTTGAGCAGCAAGACAAGGATACAAAGCATTCAATGAAATGACAGTTAAATAGCTTTACTTATACAATGTATAAAGAGCAGACAATGTGGTCCAATCTCAATCCCACATGCCTGGCAATTTGGCTCATAAATGAACAAACAGCTGCAGGTTGGAAAGCACAATTTTTTCCTCCTAACTTTACTCTTAAATCTTTACAGCACCTAGTTTTTACCAAGGGACAGTTTGGGGAAAGAATGAAAAAGATAAACTAACTCAATCTCATTCTTTCCTGCTTCAGCAACTGTATGCTAAATGTTTGACCATTAACTTCATTCATTAAAATTAAGAGGGATTGTGACGGGGATGAGACTGGCTCTGAAAGAAACAGAACTAGCTGTATTTCTCACCTCTGTTCAGCTCAGTAATGAAAAATAATAGCCTTGTCCAGGACGCATACTTTATACCACAGGCCAAAAGGAAAAAGAGCTGTGATTGTAATCAGTCACTGAAAACAGAAAGTGGCAGCAAGGCTAAAACTACAAGCTTTAAATTGTGAGAGAAGAACATTGCCTTGAAAGCCAAAAATCAAATTCTTAGCAAAACTATTGAGAGTCACTGTGAATGAATCCATTGCGTTGTATGTAAAAGTTAATTAAATTTTTTTCAACTGTTTAGCCTCAAGTCTTTAAGAGTTTTAATTTTTCAGTCTTCTCTACTGTCTTCAGCAAATTGTCAATGAGAAATTTATTGCTCAAAACCGATCACAGAAGAGGAGGAATGACAAGTACAATTTTTAAAAAGTGATGCTTTTTTAAGAAAGACGCTGTAAAAGGGGGAACAGATTAAACAGAAAATTTCGCCTCTAACACCCAACTTAAACTCAACTTCCACTGTTGCAAACTGAATTCTTATCCTTCAATTTCTGCTTAGTGACCTGCAGTAAATAATTCAGTGTTCTCAGCCAGTCCCCATGGACACTGATATTAAAATAAAACAAAAACAAAATATATATAAAAAACTACTGTTAGGTCTGGGGTCCCAGGAGGCTCTGTCAGGAAAGGGGCTAAACAATGAATGAATATTGAAGCTACTACCTTATCTTAGCAGGTGAAGCCTAAAGCGTGCGCTAAGGCAAAATGGCAGCGTAGCATGGGAAAGCATGCACTGAAATTGCCATTCAGTAACAAGTTCTTGTTGATAAAGGATTAGCATCTCTAGGACAGCAAGTCTGACCCCTTGTACAAGTACTAAGACCATTTTTAATTAACTAAACTAAAAAACAAGAAAAGGATATGCACCTTCACACTTTCTAAACGGATCTGGTATCCAACAGTAACACCAACTCTTTCTGTTCTCTCCTTGGCTACACGTTCAGCTACAGAAATAGCGGAGATCCGGCGAGGCTGAGTACAGATGATATTGGCTACTCTATTTGGAGGACCTTCCAATGAAGCATCCAATATAAATTGTGGAATCTGAGTGGTTTTCCCACATCTGCATGGAAAAATAACATGGATTTAGTTTTAAAAAGAAGTGTTTCCTCAGCAGGAGTTAAGAGGGCTGATTTTTATTTTGAATTTCTATTTTTTTAAATTTGTGCCACACCTTCTATAAAATTAATCTACGGCTACAGTACTTTAACCTGAATGAATTTTGAACCTGGTCACTTTGCCTTTTCAGACTGAGCTGTATAACTAAGCTTGTATAACTACATATGTTTTCCTGTGTATCATTTAATATTCCAAACCTATATATAAAATCATATTCTTACCCAGTCATACCACTCACAACAAGCACTTGGTGTCTTTGCAACATATCAAGAATGTTTTCTCTTTCTTGCCACGCAGGGAGCTTCTGTCTTTCTAGCAACAGGGACTGGAAGTGCCTAGAAGACTGACAAAACAATAACAAGAAACTGAACTCTCTGATAAGAAGATAAGTCCTGGCCTAGATCCATCCTATTTAATGGCAGAGAGGATCAATATAATTATTCAGTCTTCATAAAATAGGCCACAGAACTTTACAAAACCAATTCCTGTATCTTGCAGTACCTGTATTCTTATCTTGTAGTTAAACAAGAAAAAATTTAGCACTACTACCTGGACTTCAAAGACAGAATCATGTCCCACCTCCTGAACTCTCCACAACACACGTGACAATCTTGTACTCTCAATGCCTGCAACTGCGATATAAATACTATCAAAAGGCCTGAACACACATAACAGGACTCCAATGTAGTTATCCCAGGAAAAAAACCAGCAGTAAAAATATGCTGGTTTAATTTATACTAGCGTAGGTGTTGTGTCCACTATTATCCCAGGTTAGTCATTTGCTCAATATAAATGGGCTATTCTACTCCTAAAGAGTTGTAATAGGCCCTACCCCAGCAGCTGCCCTTATTACTTGTCCACTCTGAATCAGGATATAATTTACATCAGAATACAAAAATGTTTGTGTGTTGCATCCAGGCAATGATTTCCTTCTTTAAAACAATGATTTCCTTACTACAATCTGAAAATGACTACTAGCCTGCAGAACCCTTCAGCTGACCCACAAAAGGATATCTTTAAGACATAAACAGTGCAAAAGTGATGTAAAAGAAAGAAGGCTGCTACCATATGAAGTCTACAGAATGAAGCAGCTAAAAAAACCTATAACCTAACCAAAGTTTGCCTCCATAGCAACTGTTTGTAGGTCAGGTATGGTTTCCCAAAGAATACAGGTGGTTAAGGAGCCACTGTCATTCAGCCAGTGGGATGGAACCCATGTAAGCAGAGTTTCCTTCCCTGAAGGGCAGGTTACAAACTAGACCTCTGCAAGTTATGAAGCCTCATTGTTAAAACATAAAAGGAAGAATTACTCACGACATGAGCCAGGTAAGATTCTGAGCTCTTTTGGGCATAGACTACATCTTCAGAGAGTGTATGCTTGCATAGCATCTAGCACAATGTTGCCCTAACTTACTTTGGATTCTATTATATTATAAAAGTTAAGTAGCAGCACACACAAAAAAACCAAATCAACAGTGTCCACTTTTACAGCACAAAAGAGAATTCTTTTACTTTCTTTATCCTGAGCAGTCTAAGGACAGATCCTTATACACTTGGTTATAGGACTGCATCTGCTGTTATTTTTAGAAATGCACAATATGTACAAGTGTTCTCAGCAATCTCTGATCTCCTGGGTAAATACATATTTTTACACCTATTAGCTGAAAGTTCCAAGATGAAGACAGCAGTTACAGCTCTGCTACTCAGGCCCAGCAGAACTCCCTACCATGAGGGCAGAGCTGATCTGTGTAGAAAACAGAACTTTGTAGAGGGCTGGTCCAACACTATGGAATTAACTCTGCCAGGCTCTGAGAGCCATCACAATATGAATAAAAGTAAGATACATTTCTTTGGCCGCTGCCTTCTTTCACAGATAAACAGCAAATGTATATTTTAAAAGAAAACAAACTCTGTCAAAACAAAATATTTCACTGAACTTGCATCTTCCCCTAGGGACAGAATAAGAGACCAAGCAACATGCAACAGCTGTTAGACACCTTGCTGTCTGCACTAGCAGAAGGCACTTGGATACTATAGGAATATATCCATGAGAACCTTGCAGAGCAGAATTGCTTGTTAAGTACAGTTTAAGAACTATTATGTTAAAGCCAGAATTGAGACGACTCTTTTTCCATTTCTATACTATACCTTTTTTATTCGGAATTGCTTGCAGATTTTAACATTTTCATTATACAGAGGCTTTGACTGCATGTCATACTTCCTGGACAGGTTCTTTTTGAGGTTCACATAACTTTCATTCTCTACAACTGGTTCAGATTCCTCTTCCTCTTCCTCCTCAGGTTCTGACTCCTTTGTGACTTGAGAGATAAAATTAATTTATTATTAATTTGTACTACCATAGCACCCAGAAGCCCTTGTCACAGGCCAAGAACCCATTGTGACACATGCTGTAGAACAGAGGTGTCAGATACAGCTCATGGAGCCATGTCATCTGTCCCAAAGGGCTGGAAATCTGGTGGAAGGGCAAGTACCCAGAGCCACAGCAACCACCGCTCATCTCGCTACCAAATTTCCAACTCGCAGGCAGCAGTTTAGGTCAGGCACAGAGCCATGGCATCTGGGCCATAGAGCTGCCTGCAGGTGAGAAATTTGGCAGCAAGACAAACACCAGTTCCTATGGCTCTGGGACCCATAGCAATTAATACTGCTGCCACTTGCCTTTCCACCAAATTCCCAGTACCATGAACCAGATGACATAGCTCCAGGCTGCAGGTCCAGTGCATTGACTGGCCCCACACTACTCATCTGGCCCTGCTGTAGAACACTGCTGTAGTTTGACAGCCTTGCTGTAGAACTATAGAACTAGAACAGCTGCAGGGGAAAAGAAGTAAAGAGCAACAGGAGTGTTAACCTGCACTGATGTGCCATTAGGAGCCATTCACTCTGGCTGTCTGGGCCACACTTGGTCCACCATTGGAGGTTAAGCACCCCCTAAACTAGATGGTTTCTACCCCAGGGAACGTACAGTCTAAAACTCTTAATATTCAATTCTCTGCAGAGATTGAGAATTACACAATTCTGAAGTCTGAGATACTCTACATTTGGTCTTGAAGCACTGCAAGACACATTACTAGATCATAGCCCAGATCCTCAAAAAAGTATTTTTAGGTGTTAACATCTACTGATTTCTGTGGGTGCATCTACATGTGCAGTTTACTGATGAGTTCACTAATTAGCTTCACAGTAAAGTGTTCCATATGAGTGCTGGTATTAGGGTACAGTAAATTAATTAACTCTGCCATAAGACAGACAGTACTATCTTATAGCGGAGTAATTAACTGCGATCAAATGCTCATGTGGACATGAGCACGTCAGGCGCAAATTATGCCTAATCAGCCCAACCAGTTGGGGGCCAGAACCCCAGCTCCTGCCAGTCCCCCTGTAGCCCGACGCTGCCATCCAGAGCCCAGAGCTGACCCCTATGCCCCCTGCCAGACCAGGGCTGCTCTGCCATGGCTCTAATTGCTGCTGTCCTGGACACATGGGTAGACACTGCATCTGCAAGCAGTCAACTCCAATGTGAACTGTTTCAGAGTTTATTGCATTCTCTTAATTGCAAAGGTAGATGCACCCAGTGGCACCTTAACACCTTTGAGGATCCTACTTTAAATAAGCAGATGACCTGATAAAGATATAGCTCTGGTAATACCAGACTAAGCAGGTATCTTAGAACATAGATACCCATATGAAGTTTCAGTTCCCTACCCTCTACTAATTCCTCTGTAGAGCTGTTTAAAAAAAGTCAGCTAAACTTTTTTGGGGGAAAAAATGCAACAGGAAAATGATACTGCTACTCCCCATGTGTTAAAAACATAATGTAGTTGTTATTGCTCAAGTTTCCTGAGAAAGCTCACCTTAGGGCAAGGGTGTTAAATATACTGCCCACAGACTGGATCCAACCCGCGGAGTTGGATCATCCGGCCCACAGACTTTGCCCCGACCCTGGTTGGGATGGGGGATCTTCCACGGTGGTGGCCAAGAGTCTGGGTGACAGCCATGGTGCTGGAGCACCAGCAGCACCACAGGATCAAATCTAGCACCATAGCTTGTTCCTGTGGTGGCACCCAAGCACCTGTGATACCGGGCTTCTTCTTGTGGTGCTGCTGGGGCTCCAGCACAGCTGCTCTTGCCTGGGCTTTTGCCTGCCACCACAGGAAGAAGCTCCAGTGCCCAGCTTGTTCCATGGTGCTGCTGCTCTAGCATTGCAGCTCTTCCCCAGACACCTGCCTGCTGCCATGGGATGAAGCCGTGGTGCCTGGCTTGTTCCTGCAGTGCTGCTGGGGATCTACGGCCAAAATTACTACTTGCTTGGCTGCCAAGCACTTGAGTGAAAGCAGCAGTGCTGCAGCCCTGGCAGCACTGTGGGAAGAGAAGCCTGGCACTGTGGTTTGGTCCTGCGGTGGTAGCCAAGCATCTGATACATTGGGCTTCTTCCTGCCAGATGCCTGACCACCTGGAGTGGGTGACACATGTGGCACCCATCCCAAATTGTCTGGAGTGAACCAGCATGTGCAGGAAAGGGAGGGAATGGCTATGGGCCTGTCCCATTCATCTGCCCCTTGGACCAGTCCCACAACACTCATCTAGCCTGTGACCAGATGAGTTTGACACCTCTGCCTTAGGGAAAAAGACCTGTTAAGGGAAGTTGCAGCTCAAAAATTGAAAGCTTTGGAAAACTGCGGGCAATTCAAAACAAGGGGTTAGAATGCCATCTTAATTATAAGGGGAGGTACCCGTCTGCTAAATAATTGCACAGCTCTACAAACATTAAGTTTCCCCTTGCATAATCTGTTCATCCCATAAACATATAATGTTCCAAAACTGGTCAACAACAGGAGATGCCTGTTTTCCTCAAAATACAATTTCCTGTGGGTTTTTGAAACTTCAGAAGCTCATGATGTCTCCTCCATGGCCTTAGTGCTCTAGCCACTGCTATATTAGAACTATGCTATATTAGCCATGCTCATTTGCTCAACACTTGCCATGTCTGCCCCTGTTTACTCATTCTCTGCAAAGAAAAAATCCTCTTGTACATAGAAAGAGACTCCCCACAGCAAGTAGATTAAGGGCTTTGTTTGTGGCATGCCCTTAAACCACCGCCAGATCTGGAACAAAACCCAGATATCTGAACTTCACCCCAGATCTCTCATTTAACCTCTAGACCAATGATTAGCAAACTTTAAAGAGTGGTGGGCCAAATTAACACAGGTTGCTTTATAAGTGGGTTGTCACTTCCAGCCTGGCCATCATTCCCCCTGTTGCCACTGTACTTCCAACTCAGACCCTGATGTCCTGACATAACGTTACTCACTGCTAAACTGCTATCAACATCCAAAGTTTCCAAGACCAATGAAAATCGGTCCCCAAACTTGATCTGGACTGCAGGGCATAGACTGCTGATCCCTGCTCCAGACCATGAACAGATTTTATCCAGTCCACCAAGAACACCAAAAAGAAGACACTGTCATGGAAGTTGATGCAACTCTCCTTCAGTATGTTTTGCATGAGAATGCACCATCTAGTACCAGAATATCTAACGACTGCTGCCTCCAGCTCGCCTTAAGACCAAGCTGTGTTAATTTGATCCACTGTTAAAGAAATGTTGCCAACCCCTCCTCCAGACTGTATTCCTACTGCCATAAACCAAACACCAAAGAAGAAACATTTCCAACACTGCACATACCTTCCAAATTCTGAGTTACAACAGATGAATTATCTGGAGATGTTGGCTTACAAATGTCTGTGTGTGTTCTGCTGGAGGGTGCTGCCAGCAGGGACAAAGGAGGAACACTATACTTGTGTAAAGTATTACTAAGTAACTTGGTTATTTCAGATTCATCTTCCAAACAGGTTATTAAAGCATACACCACTGGTTCACTAGACTCTGCAGCTTCCAGGGCCTTTTCATAGAGATATTCAGAAATATGTAATCGACAAGCCAGAGGTAGATTCTCGTTCGTAGAATAAAAAGCCACAACAGGTGCCTCGAGTGGGTATTTGTTATCCTCAGAAAATCTTATTTCCAGCTCATACAAGGGAGAGGTGTCATAATTCGATCTCAGATGAGCATCATCTACAGAACTCTGTGCTGTTTTTAGCAAGTGTTTTGGAGGAGTTTCATGCTTAAATTTGCATCTTGAGCCAAACCTGCATCCTCCTTTGAGGTAAAATTTACATAAGTTGTTTAAAGTCTGTTTTGCCACATCTTTGGCAGCACTGTGCCTCTGTTTGGATTTGCTGAGTTTGAGTGTTAGGTACTCCAGGTCCAATCCAATAGTCCACACTCGGTTTTGAATTCTTTCTACAAATTTTTCTCCACAGATTGAATGGAGAGCAAAAGCTTCTTCTTGTCTCTGTTCCAGGCATTCTTCTCTGCTGGCCTGAGCTGCTGCTTCAGACATTTTCATCCTATCTCCATATCTTTCTGAGAAGCATTGCAACAGCAAGTGTTCCAGGGATGCCCCAATGTTACCATTGCAGGATCGCAGTATTGCCCGACAACGCTCACTATCAAACCCATACCTATGGCAGAACAAAAGAAATAATGCACAAATATGAGGCACAAAATATACATGCTATGAAGTAATCCCAAATATATTTGATTATTCCCATTTAATATAAGCTTATATGGAATCATTACACTTCAAAATAAACACAAACTAATTTTAATACTCATGGCATGTGCCAAGGAAACCAAAGTCCCTTATTTAGCCAGCCTATCCTGGATTCACCACAAGGTGAATTGTTCAGTTTTCAAAGTAAAACAATACAGCTACAGGATTAATTTCTGCAGTCAAATGATACCAAACCAACTCTTCAGAGAAAGTTTAGATACTATAAGATATAAAACTTTCTCAGATGAAGCAGCAGTGGGTGGCTGATTACATAGCATGAACTCTAACAATAAAGAGATCCTACATGGCATAGCTTAGGAACCACTAAAAGCTGAATACAAACTATTTCCATTTACAGTGAATGACGGTACATATTTTATAATATCACTTCAGTTTCTTGGAAATAACTGAAGCCATCCAAATGCAGTAATTAAAATATTTAACTGCTGCAAGGATAGGAAATCTTTTCATGAACTGTTATTCTAAAATCTTTCAGTGAATAAATGACCTAACAAAAGCCAACCCTGTTATTAACCCTCTGCCTGCAGAACCTTCCCTGAAGTCAATGGAGAAGCTCCATGAACTGAAGGCTCATCATATCAGTCATATGGTAATTTGCCTATTGGGTTATAAACATTACTTACCATAAAAGGACTCACCTGGAAAGCTTATGCACAGCAAATGCAGACACCTCACTTTCTGCAATTTTGTGCTCTTCTGGTTCAGAAAACAACTTTGTAGTTACTTCAGAAGCTTCTTGGTCTGCTGACCAGTATTGCTCATCGTCATCAAGGTAATCAGGTTCATCGCAGTCTTCCTCACTGGAGGCAGCCACTCTGATAAAGACAGTTATTAAATTCAAATATCATAAAACGGTGGTGTTGATCAGATACAAAACTGAACCCCTGGGTTAAACAGAAACTTCTGCCTCTCTCCCTCTCTGATTTAATGGTGTGTGAGAAAGAAGAGGATTCAGAAGTGTAATTTTTTTAAAGTGAAGTAAAGTATAAAGTGAAAATGTAGGAAAAATACTGCTTTCCTTTATAATAGCACATCTGTAAAAATTAGCTTATAGGAAAGAACTATTCAGGTGCAGGTTTTTTTAAATTTAAACTAACTCTGAGGTAGCATACAGCTCTTGCCCTTGGAGTTCTCGGAGAAGCTCTTTCACTCTTCGCTGATTGTCAGATGTCATGTGTATGGTCTGCAAAGGCATCCTCGTCTCAGGTCCCTGTCTGGTTTGCCTACTTTTGTTAACACAGCTTGATCTAAAAAGTAAACACACACACACACACCATACACTTATTTACAAAATGGAAGTTAAATAGATCAAATGCATACATCCATAAAAGCTACATAATACTAATGACTACAAGCCCAATAGAACATTAAAAAAACACAGAAAAAAGTGTGACACTACTTACACACAACCCTCAAGAGGATACTCAGTTGTTTTTGTTTGTTGGGCAGTATTTTACATAGCCTACTTTGTTCTGAGATCAGATCTTCAGTGTTTTCTTGTAATGTTGACCAAATAAAAGCATCAGTAGGTTATAGCACAGCCAAGCATGTTTAAGTATAGGATGGCTAGAACACATTTCAGGTAACAAATCTGACAAGTCTGCATATACACTATATACACAAATAAATATAAAGCTTCTCCGTTTATTACTTGATTTATATGCCACCGTTTCTGGCATGCATCTGCAGTAAAACGTACTTTAAATTAAATTAAAATTTTAAAAAGTAAGTTTAAAGTACTGGCAATGCAAGGTGCCAGGAAGAGTTCTGTACTGGAAATATATATTTTAATAGTAACAAAAGAATTTATTTTTCCTAAATAGTTACAAAGTTACTTGTGGAATGAAACCTGGATATAAGACTCATTCATTCTTTCTAACATTTGTACTCTGCATTTACTAGCAAAGGGACTGCTGTACACCTACGGCAGCACAGGCACATTTGTCCAACCAGAGGCAAAATGTCACTACAAACAGCAGCGCATGTAAATCCTAGGGAACTGAGCATGGGGCGAGAAACCAGTAGGTGCTACATCTTCTCCTATTCTACATGAGAAGTGGACATAACTTTTTACTCCTGACCCTCTCTAGCCCCCAGAGCGAGACCAGAACTGTTCTCTGGAACTCATACATTTATCTTTAGGAACAAATCTAGCACCAGTCTGATCATCTTAAAGGTTCCATTTCAGAATTATGACTTAACTAAGTATGATGGCTAATTGGGAATATTTACAGTGCTCTCCTGTGAAATGTTATCTTCATAATAATGCTCTAAGAGGAGGCAACAAGTACTAGCATAACATTTTAACACATGACAGAATATTAAGGTAAAGATATTCTAACACATGACAGAATCTCTTATTTAATAATCTATAAAACAGAGCCTGGATTTCTGTTAAAGGAAGATTTCAGTATTGAAACTAACTGAAAAAAGTCACACAGACTGTACCTGACCTATGTTGTTATAATAAAAATGATTTACATATACAGCTTCAATCTGAACTGCAGACTGCCCCATGTCTTGCTCAGTAATACAAGGAAGTTATAATTCTATATTTATCACACTCTTTGCAAAGAAGTTATTTGTGAAGCTACAGCTTAAGCTAGAGGTGGGAAATTATTTGGGCCTGAGGGCCACAAAGGGAGCTTTGATGAACTGCCACAGGCAGGGTCAGTGGTAGGCGGGGGGCCCTGGCTCCGGCCAGTGCTCAGCTTCTGGTGGGAGTGTTCCCAGCTCTGCTGCAGCCGGACAAGTTCACATTGTCACCGGGAGGTGAGGGGAGCACAGCAGAACCCAACTGGTAGGCCTGTGCAAGTCAGCAGCAATCCGATCTGGCTTCAGATCCCGCCGCTTCGGATGGCTGCGATCCGATCCAGAGCTCCGGATTGGGTTTCCACCTTGATCCAGCCGAAGCGGCTCTGAAGCTTCGGAGCCACCTCAGGGATCTGGCCATAGGGTATAATGGGGAAATCAATGAAATATCTATAACTTTGTTGTTTTTTTGTCTGATTTGGATGAAACTTCATGGGATGATAGTCTCTGCTGACGGCATGAGACCTGCCAAGTTTCAAGAAGATTGGTACAGAGGTTTGGAGGGTACTGTACCCCAAATTCTTGAAATCCAAACTCATGTCACGGCTGTGTCACACCACAGGGGGGTGAAAACTGCAGGGCTGGTAGTTCTTACTGAGGCCACAAAGCCTGCCAAGTTTCAAGGAGATCGGTGCAGGGGTTTGAGGGGAACTGCCCCTCAAGCTGCAGACAAGCAAAACTTGTGCCATGGGTGACACTGTGTGTTAAGGCACAGCAGGGTGACAGCTGCAGAGATGGTGGCCCCTGCTGAGGCCACAACGCCTGCCAGCTGTCGAGGAGATTGATGTAAGGCTTCTGGGTTCTGGGGCCCTGCACCCCTAGCTGCTGACAGGCAAAACTGTGCCAAGACTATCTGTCTTGGGGCAGTTGATTGTCTGTATTGATTCTTTCCTCTCCTTAGCCTTGCTTTGTAGGTGCTAAATGATGCTCATTAAGTCGTTATGAAGTAGCTAGGTCCTGTGTATTGAGCTGGTCCCTGAACGAATCACGATTCATTGATTGGTAACTGGTAACACAGCAGTTTAGCAGCCAGGCCTGCAGTAGTCTCCCCCCTCCCAGGCCCAAGACAGACAGTCAGTCCCACAAGCACCCATGGTACGAGTTTTGCTCGTCTGCAGCTTGAGGTGCAGTTCCCCGCAAACCCCTGCACCGATCTTCTTGAAACCTGGCAGGCTTTGTGGCCTCAGTAAGAGCTACCGCCCCTGCAGTTTTCACCCCGCTATATTGTAACATGTAGATGTGACATGAGTTTTGCTTTCAAGAATTTGGGGTACTGTTCCCCCAAAGCCCCTAAACCGATCTTCTTGAAACTTGGCAGGCTTCATCCTCTCTGCAGAGTCTACCGCCCCTGAAAATTTCATCCAAATTGGACAAAAAATAACAAAGTTATAGATATTTTATTGTTTCCCCATTATACCCTATGGCCGGATCTCCGAGGCGGCTCTGAACCACTTCGGGAAGCCTAACAAGGCCAGCGCTTTGACCCAGATGTGCTGCTTCAGACCCCAAAGCGTCCAAAGCTTCTCCAGATCCGAAGCTCTGTCCGAAGCCTCGCACAGCCCTACCAACTGGCTGCAGATGCACTGGGAACAACCCCACTGGAAGCTGTGCACAGGACACAGCCTGGGCCAGCGGGGCTGTTCTCCTCCCCTTGCCTCCAGCAGCAGCTGCAGCTGCTGCTCCTCCTGCTGTGCCACTCCAAGCCGGCTGGGGGCGGGGAGCTTTAGCTGGGCAGCTTTGGCTCCAGGCTGCCTTCCACCTGTTCCATCTGCAGGTGGCTGCTCATCCTGCCGGGTGGGTGGAGCAGGTGGAAGGCAGTTGGGAGCTAGAGCTGGAGCTCCATGTGCTGGGCAGGAGCCACCCGGCTAAAACTTCCCATTCGCCGTCCGGGAGTAGTGCGGCAGGAGCAGGAGCAGTTAGGGCTCTGTGAAAGAGCACCGTTTCGTTTTGACTTCCATTTTGACAAGACAGTGTTTCGTGTCGAGTTTCATTTAGTTTTGAAACTGCTGTTCCATTTCATTTCGTTGAAACGGTTTCACCATTTTGACACTGTTTCAACGTGTCACCCATAGGCTATAACGGAGAAGCATGAAACAGCTTATAACTTTGTCAGTTCTTGCCTGATTCAGATGAAATTTGCAGGGACAGTAACCCCTTCTGAGGCTATGATGCCTGCCATGTTTCAAGGAGATAGGTGCCGGGGTTTCTGGGAAACTGCAGCTCAGGCTGCTGACAAGCAAAACTCGTGACATGGGTGACAGAAAGCAGCCCAGTTCAAACATTGCTGCCGTTTATGCTGTTTTTCCATCCCTCCCCCAGAGAACTGGGATTGGAAGGGACCTCAGGACAGGATGACAGTCACTGGCCAGCTACACAGTCATTATGAGAGCAGTCTTTCCCCTCTCTTCCCCCTCCCTCTCCTTACTTTCTGTTTGGCAAGCCCAACTTGAGCTTCAAAACACAAAACGTTTCGAAACTTTCAAAACGTTTCAACTGCCCTTGTTTCATTCTGAGGCTGTTTCAAAGCCCTTCATTTTGTTTCGATTTTGCTGTTTTGAGCTCGAAACAAGTCGAAACAGAGTCGAAAGGAAACAGCCAGCGAAAGTTTGCACAGCCCTAACTAGCAGTAGCCTCAGCTAGAGGCAAGGGGAGCAGAACAGCCGTCCTGGCCTGGGCCCCATGGCCTGGGTCGGGGCCCCTGGCCAGCTTGCAGCTTCCAGTGGGGCTGTTCCTGGTGCAGCTGCAACCAGCTGGGTGCTGCTGTGCTTCCCTTGCCTCCAGTGGCTGCTTCTCCTCCTGCTCTGCTCCAGGTGGGCAGGGATGGAAGTTTCAGCCCCGTGGCTCATGCTGGAGGCGAGGGGTGCAGAGGAGCATCTGGCCAGTTGCAGTCACAGTGGGAACAGCTCTGCCAGAAGCTGTGTGCTGGCTGGGGCCTGAGCTGGCGCGAGTGCAGTGCAGGCTGCCCTGGTGGGAGCAGGTGGGGCTCGGCCCCATGTGGAGCACCATGGGGGGCAGCTGTAGGCCAGATCCAATCAGCTGGTGGGGTGAATCTGACCTGTGGGCTGTATTTTGCCCACCCACCTCTGGCTTAAGTAAAAATGGCTTTAATCTTTCAATTTTCTAATGATCAAAGATCATTTGTGGTTTAAGTGGATTTTTAAGATGTTTAAGTGGATTTATCCCCAAATCTGCAGTCCAAAAACTCTCCCCAAGTACCACCTCTTCAAATCCTCTCTTTAAATACTTTTATATTGTTGGAAATTTGAAGCGTCCAACCTGTCTTAGTCACAACCCCCCAGAAACACAACCGCTCATGACCTCAGCGCAGTTCTTTGTTCTTCAAACAGGCAGAAGTCATCTTCCTCGTCCCACATTCGGCTTGAGCCTTTCTTGAATCCACCCGCATGAGACTTGCTTGACTGCCCTCTACCTGCACCTCCTCTGCCGCCTCCACCTCCGCCCCTGCCTCTGCCCCCGCCCCTGTTGGGGCGCCCTCGCCGCCTCCCGGCCGAGCTCATGGTGTCTCCCTGCGAACAAAAGGAACGGCCCGTCAGAGGCATCGCGCGGGGCCCCCGGGGCTCCACTCCCCCCAAGCCCGCAGCGCGGGGCACGTCGCCGCACCCTCCCC